GAAGGCTCCGCATATGTTGGGGTCCCGCTCTGCTAGATTAACGGCTTGTGAACCTGTGCCTGTATCACAGGAAAGCTACAGCCATAAACCTCATGGTTTTGAGCCATAGCGACTTAACGCAGCTCAGCGAACCTTTGCGCGGATCTTTGCACGTCTGCCTAGTCTGAACTCTTGGACGCTGCTGTTGGCACCTGTGGGTGCCGTCTTCTGCTCGGTACCTCCGCTTAGCTCCGTCCTGAACTGCCAAGTGGTTTCCTGAGCCTGTTGTCCCCACTCCTTTCTATCTGCAGAACCGTTTTGTGGGTGGGAAAGGAGAGCTTGGCAGGTCTGCTGTTCAACTGTTGAGGCTGGGGCAGTCTAATTTACTAAAAAAGTTGGTGGGGAGGGGCAGGGGGCATTTGAAGGCCACCGTAACTTGACTTATGGTAGTCACAGGTTGCAGCATGTAATAAAACTTTTCGTAAGTACTGTGTGCTGAAACAATTTGGACTTTCAGCACTCCCAAATGGCTGCAGAAATAATAGTTGTACATCATGGCTATGCCTTCCTAGTGGTGTCGGTGGGGCTTGGTTTGAGTGCTGGTATTTTAATATATATATATAGGAGTTGAGAATAATTTTGTCTGCAGCTCATATGTCTTCCCTCATCTGACTCTGGTTGAAAAGTTCATGTGCTGTTTCATTGCTTCCACTGCTCCCTTAATCATCCCGTGGAAACAGAAGATGGATTTCTCGAAGCAGAGCCGTGCTGGTGTGAAGCAGGGAAGTCACTCGCTCCGGTGACGCTTTGCATTCCCGGTGGGATGGATCCTGCCGAGCAGAGTGACGCACTGCCGTGGCGTAGCGCTGATGCTATGCCGGCTGGTGAAGCAATTGCCTGGTGCTCTGAATCTGAGCAGGGCCTGCACAAGAGGGGGTGTTCAAAGCCTGCTTATGTGTGAATTGGCTGGAGATTATTTTTAGGAAAAGGAGAATTTGCACAGTCAGCTAGGCTACGGTAAGGGAGGTGGCTGCTCTTTGTAACCAGTCGGTACGGCTCCACGCTCCGGGCTCTCAGCTCTGCGGTAAAGCCCTGGAGAGGTGGGGGTAGTTCTATCAGGATAGGGTTTCATCTGCTTTGAAGCCAACAGAAGTTTAAAGTATAATAATGTTGAATTTGGGAATAGACCATGTCTCTGTATCACAGTGGGACGACTCATGTAAGCAGGTTTTTTGGTTTTCCCTTGAAATAGGTAGTGGGAGAAGGCTTTTGGGAACCCTCCAGCGTAGTGCTGCTGTCATAGGGGATAGCTTCTGTAGAACCAGTCTCTTCATTTGGTGGGTTGAAGGATTTCTCTCACCCCTCCACCTCCAAACAGATTAAATAGCCCTTGTGACTCCAAACGTAAGACTTGGATGAGGAGAAAGGTCTGGGAGTGATGGAGAAGAAAGAAGAGGGTTTACTGGAGGCTTTGCCCACATTAAAGTTGCAGTTATCGAATAGGTGTAAAATGCTATTGTTTGTTAAACTAGGTAACTTCTCAGCAGTAACTTGCTCATTCAGGGACTAATGTAAGATAAACAAGAGCTTGTACTGCCGGTGTTTCTAGCCCTGCGGTGAAACAGTTACTCACTTGTGCTCTATCTTTCTGACGATGGAGGGATTTTGAAAAACCTTCTTATATTGAAGAAACTGTGAGCTGATGTCCCCAGGGTCTTGCACTGGTGGAACTTAGGATCCTTGGCATCCAGAGGCTTTTTTTATGTTTTCATGGTCTGGTCTTTTTTTTTTTTTGTCTTTTTTTTTTTTAAATTTTATTTTTTTTTCCTCCCCTAGGCCAGCCTCTGCCTGTAATCTGGGGGGGGGAGGTTTCTTCCTCTTCTCACTTCTTTTTCTCCAGCCTGGTGCCACATGCTGCTCTGTTCTCTTCCTTCTACCACCCTTCAGTCTGATGTCGCATCTGTCCCCTGCTTAGTCCTGTGCCTACAGCAGGTAGCAAGCACCAGTTCTCACCTGCTCACCCCTCTGCTTGGTGGTGGAGGGACCCAGCAATCTCCCCTGGCATCTCAGCCGTGCCTGCAGCTCCAGGAAATCTGTCCGGTGGGGTCATCTTTGGCTGCACCTTTCTTCAAACCCCTGTGGGGTAAGCCAAGGTGTTGCAGAAGCAGATGTTTTGCCCGTTCCTGGGGAGTGCCTTTGGGCAGGCACAGAGCTGCTAACATTCATTTTCCTTCTGCTCCCGTTTCCAGCAGATTCCTAGCACCATCCCAGCCATTTGCTTTCTCATGGTTAAATAAGCATCAATGCAAAGAATGCAGCTTGTATGTGGCACTTCTGCTCGTGCCGTTTCAAACGCTTTAGTTGTGCCAGTTCGGTACCAACACCACTGGCACTGGCATGGGCAAAGCCCATCAGCGAGGTCTCAATAGCTTCATGTTGCACAAGATATGTGTGCAGCAGTGGCTGCCCAATTTCTTTATTAATTCGTAATGGTTAAATTAATACTTTTAATTATAATTAAAAGTAATAATTAACTAGCTTTTTGTAAACTAGTTTAGATGTTTTTCCAGGAGAAGGTGGAGCTGCAGACGAGCCACAGCTTGGCAGGGGACAGGTAGGGAACCGCTGCTTTCAGCAGGGTCTAACACATGGCAGCCGAGTGCCTTCTGCAGGCAGCATTTGCCTTCCTTAGCTCCCCACAGCTTTGGCAGCAGCGTGCCATGGGTCCAACCCTTTCCAGTTCACCCTGAGCATCATGAGTGAGTCCAGAGGAGGCCACGGAGATAGTGCGAGGGCTGGAGCATCTCCTGTATGAGGACAGGCTGAGAGAGTTGGGGGTGTGCAGCCTGGAGAAGAGAAGGCTCCGGGGAGACCTTCCAGCACCTTCCAGTGCTGAAAGGGGGCTACAGGAGAGATGGGGGGGCTCTGGATCAGGGGTGGAGGGACAGGATGAGGAATAACGGCTTTAAGCTGAAAGAGGGGAGATTTAGATTAGATATTAGGATGAAGACTTTTCACTATGAGGGTGCTGAGGCAGTGGCCCAGGTTGCCCAGAGAAGCTGTGGATGCCCCATCCCTGGAGGGGTTCAAGGCCAGGCTGGATGAGGCTTTGAGCAACCTGGGCTAGTGGGAGGTGTCCCTGCCCATGGCAGGGGGTGGCACTGGGTGGCCTTTAAGGTCCTTTCCAACCCAAACCATTCTGTGATTCTGTGATCAGTAGCTTGGCCAAAGAAGATTGAAGACTCGCAAGGCGGTGTTGTGTGGTCATGGCACCGCTGTGTGGTTGCGGGATCTGCTGGAGCGTGACCCAGTGTGGTTCCTCTGAGTCCAGCCTATGGAAAAGCAGCTCCCTGGAGGCCAGCAGTGATCTCTGCTTTGAAACCCGACTTCTCACTCGTAGAGAGCAAACCACCTTCGACTTTCTGCCACTCGATAATTCTAACTGAGCAACATATCTTCCCTTACTGCTTGTGAAATCCGTAAAAGCTGTTGAACTGCTTTTTCCACAGAACAGAAACAGAAACTGGTCCTGCTTTGGTCTTTGTTCTGCAGTTAACTCTCAATTTTTTTTGAGAACATAATGCAGACGAATTCCAGTTTCCAGAAGGATCTCGCTGCAGCCAGGCTGTGTCTGGAGTAACGCTGATCTCATTTGGGTGGAACAAGCTACTTGTTGCAGAATAATCTATTACCCTGTTCCAAAGCTTCCGTCTTTAAATCTGCACAGCAGGGATTATTTACTTAAGGATTTCTGTGTGTGTCGGGGATCTAGTTTTGTTTGCCCCTTCCAACAGAACAAAATGCAGCCAACTTCCTGGCAGTTTGAATTGTGCCTGCAGTGACATAGTTTTTAGTGGAACTACCACGGATCTGAGAGATCTTATGAGCTCTGGAAGTTGCTGGCTCCTCCGAGGTATCCCTGCTCTTTGCCTGTATCCTGAAACAGGCTTTTCTGGATGATCAACAACACAAGACGCTTGAACATAGTCTTGTTAAAAGAAAAAAAAAAATGGAGCTTGAGTACAATTTGTTGTGCTGACACTTGGTCTGTGTTGCTGTGAGGTTACAGCCCAGTCTGCAAATACCTGCTTGTGTTTTATTTGACAGCGTGTGATTCTAGTTTACAAAAAATTAAATAAAGAAGGCTTCTTATTTCTTTCTTTTTTCCCATTTCTAGTAACGGCCTCCCCAACTGAAGATGTCTACCAATGGAGTTGAAACAGAAGACAAACCACCTGCTCCTCCGATGAGAAATACCAGCACTATGATTGGGTCGGGAAGCAAAGATGCTGGGACTTTGAACCATGGCTCGAAACCTTTGCCTCCCAACCCCGAAGAAAAGAAAAGGAAGGACCGATTTTACCGAGCTATTTTACCTGGAGATAAAAGTACAGTATTTTGTCTCTTCTTATAAACCTCCTGTCTGAATGGCCTGTGGCCTTAGTTAAGTGCCTGTTGCTTAGTAATATTTCAGGTTTTAGAAAATTCTATGTGTTTGTTTCCTGCACAACTGTCTTGGTCATTTTGGGGTATGTAAGGTGCTGGCTGTAGATCTGTTTTTTCCCATGATTAATCCTGCCACATTTAATCCATCCTGCTTACTCTGTTTTGTGGTTTGGTTTGGGTTTTTGTTGTTGTTGTTGTTTTTTTTTTTTCTTCCTCTCAAATTATGAGAACAGTGTCCTTGAATACTGGGACTAGCTCTGCCACTTCCCAGCCTGACTTGTCCTTACTGGTCTTGAAAACCATAAAATTTGGTAGTGATTACAAGGTGGCCATTTAAAGCTGGCATTGGCAATTCCTTTGGTGGGGAGCAGGGGGAAGTCTTTTGCTTGTTTGTTGTTTTACACAGCAAATAATTTGAGTTAAGCATGACTAAGAGGCCATCTCCTGCCAGGCCTGTCATATCTTAATGCACGGTCACTTACTCGGTTCTAGTGTTTGGGTCAGGCATTGTCTACTTGCTGTTAAGAATAATCTGTTACTGGAAATTCTTCCACATTTCTTGTGAACTGAAGGAATTTTCTCCTGTTATAGGGACTGTAACAGATGGAAATGGAGATAGGAGCTGTGAACTGTACATGAAATTCCAATTTTTAAGATCAGGATATTTTAAAAACCTCTCTCATAGGAATCTTTTGAAGTGATGTAAGAAAAAACAAATTTCCATCCTCTAATAAGTGCTGGTTTCTTTTTATATCTGACCTATTTTTTGGAGTTCCTCTTTCTAATATATCAGCTTTCTGTAGAGTCTGCATTGCAATGGTATGTGGACACTGGAGAACTCAAGTCAAGCCCAGGTGTCTTCAACTTCCTGGGCTTCAGGAGGGAGGCTGCCTCCTTAATTTTTCTTAGCAAGAAGTCTAATTATAGTGATGCTTCCACTAACTTAAGTAAGATCTAGGTTTGTTTTCTACAAAATATTGCAGCATTTTTTTATTATTATTATTTATTTATTTATTATATGATACCCTCATCAACTTTGGATTGTTTTACAAACATTTTGATGTTTGATTCTGCAATCCAGAAACCCACAAACTCCATGTTAAGCATTTGCTGGATCTCAGTTAGAACTTGCCATTAGGAGTATTAATCCTAAAGAGCTGCAGGATTTTTGTGTCGGCTTACTTAAGGGAGTGGGGTTTTTAAATCCCTAGGCTCAGCAGTTGCAGAGAACAATGAAATCACCTGTAACGTATAAGAGAGTAAAATACATACATCCAGAAATGCTAGTTTGAACTGGATTTTAAAGGAGAGCTGTGGAAGTGAACGGTTCGGGTGAGCTGCCACTGATTTGAAGATGCCAGCATTAACTGAAGATTGGCCAACGTGGCAGATGCTTGAAGATATGAGAGATTTTTGTTTAGCCAAGCCCAGCAGAGCCTTCTGTTGCAATACACCTGCCCGAATGAGAGTGGTTGCTTCTGTCCTCTCATTCCTGTCGAGCAAAAAATACCTTTAACGCTCTCACATTCACTTCAGATTGGTCGATTTTCATCTTATGAAAACTTCTAATCTCACGAATTCCCAGTGCCTCCTGCTGCTTAAACAGTAATGAAATTCCCAGGTGTTCAGACGCCTCTCTGGTTTGTGCCTGAAACAATTTGGATGTTTTTTGTTAGTTTGGCCAGACTAAAAGGGGAGTTTGGTTTCCATTCAGTCAGAGGAATGTAATTTTGGGCAAATCCATGACCTTTGGATCCTTACCCAGGGAAACCAGTGACTTGTGTTTAACCTCTGCTGGGGTTGCAAAGAGCCTGTGATGATCTGAAATGCTCAGTGGTTAATTTTGCTAGCAAACATGAGCATGGGCTTTTATCCTGTAGCCTGAGAGCTGCTGAAGTTGATGCTGTCAATCCTTTCAGATAGGTGGTAGCTCTCTGTTCTGGGCGGGGACCGGTACTAGAGCAGGCACTTTACAAAGGATGGATGGGAAAGATGGCAAAGGGGTTGTGCTTTATGCAAAGGTGCAGCTCAAACACCTGCTGTGGAGCAAGCGACAGACCTGTTGAGAGCTTGTGGGTCCAGATCAGAGGGGAGGCCAACAAGGGGGGACATCTTGAGGGCATCTTTGACAGGTCGCTGGGTCAAGAAGGGCAGTTCTAGCTAAAGGAGCTTTGGAAAGTAGAGGTGTCATGTTCTGCCTGCAAAATTTAGGATATTTCTAGTCTTGATTTCCTCCGTCCCAGCCTAAACCCCAAAGCTAGTTTTTAAAAAACACATCAGCTTAATACTGGGTGGGTGCTATCCAGATGGATGCAGAGCTTGGGTGACGTTGCTTTCGACAGGAGCTGTGAACATCTGCAGTTTATTGGGGTCAGGACTCATAACTACTGGTTGAGGGTGTGAATTTGGCTTGAATGTAGGACATTGAGCTCCTCTGAGCTTTGCTGAGCTCAGCTGCAGCTTTGCACGGAGGCAGGGTTTTACCCCCAAGGTGACAGTTTGCAACGCCCGGGAGCCCTTTCCGTGGTGACAGGGGGAATGCTTTACTCAGCCTCGGTGGAGAAGACCTTTCTCATCTCCAGGTGCTTCAGGATGGGCTCACAGCCTTACTTCATGGTGAGGCATCGTGCTTTGTAGGTGCAGCTTGAGTTGCCAGAGCATCAAAAGGAAACCTTATGGGCGGCTCCTGTAACAGCGTCAGACGTGTGAGATTTTGAATGAGAAGGTGGTAAGGTGTTTGTGGCAATAAAGCACTTTCTTAATTGGATAGAATTCTATTTATTTTTTTATTTATGGTTCTTCAAGTCTCTTTGACTCATTGCAAGGATAATAGAATCTCTGTAGAGGGGGATTAAGTGTTTAGCAAGATTGAGAGTGCCCGTCTCTAATTCTTTTTGTTTTATACCTCCCGCTGTGCCATAAATATCTGCTACAAAAAACAATGATGTTATTAATGGTTTAATAAGTTTAGGCTTTTAGATCTGTCAGATTTTTGGATCAAAAGCTTCTGAAGTTCATTGTCCTCTGAGGCTGCTGGAGGAAAATCTCCGGATTCATGTGCCAGCTTCATGTGCATTCACATGATGACGAATTCAGTCTGGGCTCTATAAAACCCTGAGTGCGGCAGGCAGGCAGGTGTAAAAAACTGTACAGAGCAATTATGGTTTCACCCGCTGGAACGTTATCGCTAAGGCAAAGGGATTTTAGCGTGAGTTTGTGGTAGCTGTCAAAGAGTTGATGAGAGTCAGGGAAAATGCAAGGGGTGAGATGCTGTAGGAAGTGGTTGCAGGAAACTGAGATAAGTGGGAGAACATTAACAGCTTCAGGGATATGAAAACAGCGTAAGTCATAAATGCAGAAATATCTCTTCCTGTTTCTGTACTGCAGTGTGGCCGTACTGAAACTCTCTACCTGTGTGTTGAACAGGAACAGAGAGCTGGAGTGGTGATGTGACAGAGGCCATTACGTTATTTAATCCATCCTTCCAGAACTGTTTTTACTGCTGTGTGGAGCTGAGGCTCATTCAGGCTGTCGTCTCCTGCTTTGGATAAGTTAGCAGTCAGCAGACATCTCCATTTACTGGTTGAGTGGATACTGGAACAACTGGTTGCAGAGAAGTTTGTTGGGATTTGGGTGTGCAGCAGGGAGCTCAGGCTGTCTGAACATAGAAATAAAAAAAAAAAAAAAAAAAGTGAATTGACTTCTGGATAGCAACTTTGGCTTTTTTAGGGATTCATTCACATCTGCTGTGGCAGTTGTCCTGAGCCATGGGTAGGTGTGCATGACCCTTGCAGCACTCCTGCACCGTGGTGCTGGTACAGGTGCCCTCTTCTTCCTCGCCTGAGCGATGGGCTTCTAGGCTGAGCTGACACCTTACTCTTTGGCTTGGAGAGACGGACTGATCCTATAGACAGGAGTATAGGACAGGGTGCCTCTGATGGCTCTCTCTGCATCTCTTTTCCTCTTGCTTTCCATGCACCGCTGACGCATGCAGCTTTTTCTGTATACCTGCTTGTGATGGGTTTGCCCTTGGCTGGGGGCCAATCCACACACCTGTTCACCCATTCCCAACCACCCCCCATCCAAGGATGGGGGAGAGAATTAAAGGGAAAAAGGACTCGTGGGTTGAGATAAGAACAATTTAATAACTAAACTACAATAATATTGAAAATAATAGTATATAAAATATACCCATGAGTGATACACAGTGATACTGCCCCCCACCCAATGACCAAGGCTCAGCCTGTTCCCGGCTAATGATGCTGGAGCAGGGAGGGTCCCGAAACCACACTCACGGAACAGAGATAACAGTCCGAGCATCCCAGACCGAGAGCTGACCAGCAGGAGGGAGAGAAGACCTTGGGAGAGGGACCACCTGGAGTGAGATGACCCGGAGCAAAAGAGATCTGGAACAAAAAGGGACTCAGAACAAAAGGGACGAGCTTCCGGAGGGTCCTCACCTATATACTGGGCATGACGTGTATGTTATGGAATAGATTATTGGCCACTTTGGGTCTCAATCCCAAACCTAAGATCAAATCCTGGGCGAGTAACTGGGGCTGTGCTCCCTCCCAGCTTCTCCTGTTTGCAGACAGCCAGAGGAGCTGAAAGACCTTGGCAGCCGTGTAAACATCACTTTTTATCGGCTTTCTTCTGAGCACAAATCCAAACCACAGCCTCTTGCTAGCTGTTATGAAGAAAGTTAACTCTGTCTCAGCTGAACCCAGGACACAGCTGGATGCAGCTGCTTGTTCCTTTTCTTGGCAGGCCTCAGTGATGCAGATGCTCACTGTCTACTAACCAGCGGCTGCTTCTATCTCCTTCTGGCTTCTTTCCCCTCCGTGGTGGCTCCTCCAGCGCAGCAGCCTTCTCTCCTCCTTCCCCTTGGCAATTCTGTTGCTCTTCTGCCGTTCAGCTTCCCCCATCCCCTTTGTTTGAAAGAGGGATCGAAAACAATCTGTTCCATCTTCGTGTCCCGAATGAAGCATCTGATCCTTTTCTTTCTGCAAAATTACCCTGTGGAACAGCAACTCTGTAATGAGGCAGAGAACAATGCCAGAGCTGGCACTGAAGGAAGCAGGATTTGGTCCTTTGGGGCAAGCTCTGACCATCTCTACACAACTGACCACCAGCAGCGTCTTAAATAATCCCAATATTGAGCATTAGCCTCGTGGGTTTCTGACATACCTGGGGTTTGACATTCACATTGCCAAAAAATGCACTGGGGAATGTCAGCCACGAAATGAATTCTGTTTGGCTTTAGATACAAAAGGTACCAGCTGGGAAGCGTGAGTGGTTTAGTCACCTTCTCCTGGCTCTGCTTATTTTATAACTGCAAGCAGCAGCAAATCCAGGTAGAACATAGTGCTTGCTTAAATTGATCTCAATTTCTTGAGTACAGTAACTATATAAAAAGGAGGGTGGAGTCCTTAATACACCATTAATATGGATGAATTTAATCCAAGGCATAATAATACTCGTGTTTGAAGACATGACTTGAAAATTTGCAGTGTGCGTCTGCTTTGATTTATTTCCTTTCCTGTTTCTTCATGACTTCTGCTCCTTACCTGCCAGATTCTGCCCTCTTGCTCTGTGTCTTCAAAGCTTGTTATTAAAACCACATTTTGTGAGCAGAAAAATATAAATGGTTTTGCTCATGTAAGATTTTGTAGCAGAAGCACACATGCTATATTTGGTTTTCTTCATCAACTCTGTTTTGAGGATGTAGGATGAAGGAAGCAATTTACAAGCACTATTTTTAGTTTGTCCCTGTCTTAATAGGAGTGGTAAGTGTATATTTAACAGCACATATCTTTTTTTTTTTTTTTTAAAGTTGCTTAAACCAACAAATTAAAAAATGTGTTCAAAACTGCATAGCTCCCACTTACTGCTGCTGTAGTGCTTTTGACTCTGACCTGTGTAAGTTTGAGTGAATATTTTTGGTAAATAGCTCTCGTGCTATTGAGTCTAGCCCTGCTGGTTGATACTTGACATACCCAAAATATCAGTTTTCTTGTCTTAACGCTCGTCCTGTGTTACAGGACTTTCTTGTCCACTCACTCTGGCTGCTATTAAGTGAGGTAACAAAGTTTTTAAACTTGCTGTTTGTCTGCCCCACACTGAAATCCTATGACTAGTAAAAGGGGGATGTGGTTGGGTAGGTAAATTGGAAGCTATTGGGGAGATTTTAATTCTTGATGAATTTATGGATTTTTTTTGTTGTTGTTGTCTCTTCCAGCCAATAAAAAGAAAGAGAAAGAGCGGCCGGAGATCTCCCTCCCTTCAGACTTTGAACACACGATCCATGTGGGGTTTGATGCAGTCACGGGAGAATTCACAGTAAGTGAATCTGGAGGAAAAGAGAATTACGTGGTTTGGCTTATTGCTGGGAGGAACCAGGACCCATTAATCTTTTATCTAGTAATGCTGGAAAGGCTATTACCATCATCTAGTTTGATCGCCTTTGAAAACACATCTGCAGAGGTTACCCACTAATTCCTGCCAAAAGACTGCTTGTCAAATTCGGCACGTGCCAGGAACCCAGGCTGCCAGGGAACTTTTCCTTTCCTGTTTTTTGGCTGGTGTGGACAGCAAAATGTAGTATATCTCTCCTCCCTTCCCCTCCCCTCCTCTTCCAGAGCTGGATTTGGTCTGCAGCATTGTCTGTGTCCACCAAATGGGGCTCTGAGAATTCCCCTTTAGGAGACACAGACTTGTGCATAACTATTTATGTGTGCTGTCCTGAGGCTAAAGGTCAGATGCTTTTATGGGTTTTTTTATTGGCATGAAAAATACTATGAAGACAGAGTTGTATTTCGTTATATTTTTCTTCTTAATTCGATTACAGGATAGCATTTAATAGCAGCAACAGTTGTTTGTGAGCAAGCTGTTTTTACCTGTCTTTAATATGCTTCTTTTTCAGGGACTTTGCTCTCCCACCCTGAATCATGTGTACAGTTGTGTTTTGCATGCCAGCCTCTTGTTTTGCCCAAGTTAATGTAGATGCACCAGTGGGGGGGTACATTAACTGAGTGGCGTGTCCAGCCGTCCTTTTGAACAGGGAGGGTAACTATTGATAAAGGATCCTGTCACTTGCCATTTCATTTATACAAGCTCTTATTCTTGCTGGTGATGAAAGGCACAAGTCAGGTTGTACTCCAGATTTGTTTATTTTCTGGCTGAAAGGATGTCCCTGTAATGAAATTCTGAGCTTCTTACACAAGGTTAACATCTCTGCTTTCCAGCACTGGTCACAGTAAGCACCAAACCACTCTTATCAAAGAACTCTAGTGCCACAAGAAGACCCGAATGAATGTTGCACGTATAGCTAGAGGCTATACAGTGTATGTTACTTCTGTAGTCTTTCTTGGATAGATGTAAATATGTGTATATCTGTCCATAAAGGGTTTTTTTTTGCTTGAGGTTCTTGTAAACTGCTGCATTTGGGTCTGCTCCTTTCTGTCTTTTGAGTTTTGACCTTCAAAGGACCTGGGACACGAGCATTTGAGTCTGCTCCTTTCTGTCTTTTAAGTTTTGACCTTCAAAGGACCTGGGACACGCTCTGTGAGCAGAGTGGCATTTGTGTGTCCACGTAAGGAACGTGTGGCACAGGCAGTGGCTTAGGAAGGTATCAATCCACCACCTCTTTTCTTTTCCTCTCCTCTTTTCTCCCTGTTTCCTTCACAGCACTGAGTAACCCCTGAAACAGTGTGTCAGAACTGCGGCGGTGGGTGTGCACGCTGTGAACCACGTTGAGATTTCCTTCGTAGCACTGCGTAACCCCAGAAACTGTGGCAGAACTGTGGGTGTGCACGCTGTGAACCACGTTGAGCCGTCCGTGAGCTAACAAGGTTCATCTCCCCACAGGGAATGCCAGAGCAATGGGCGCGTTTGCTGCAGACATCCAACATCACCAAGTCGGAGCAGAAGAAGAATCCCCAAGCAGTGCTGGATGTGTTGGAATTTTACAACTCCAAGAAAATCTCCAACAGCCAGAAGTACATGAGTTTCACAGGTGATTGTCTCATACGGCTGCTTTCTCCAATTTTCCATCAGTCACTGCGTATGGTGTTTCTGTCATTTAATCAACAAGTAGATGTGTCATTTCAAGGAAAATGTGAATGAGCTGCTCAAGTACCCCTCTTCCTTTATAATGCTGTACGTTAACCCTGATGCCCAGCATAGCTGCAAGAGAGGTCAGTCAACTGGCTAAATCCAAAAAAATACGTAGGTTTTCTGAAGCTTACAGCCAGCATCTGAAGGGCAGGTCCCAGAGTGTCAGTGTGGGTTGAGAGTGATGAAAATCCCTGGAGAAAACATCCAGCTAAATTTTGCACCAGTTTTATTTTCCAGCGTGGGTGTGGATGTTGTTTCATGCGTGCTTGGGGTGAGGGTCTCTCCGCTCCCATGTGCCGTGACGGAGGAATACTGCTCAGCTCCTAGATGCTTGATAACTGCTGGCTGGATTCCTCTAAAAATCAAAAATGACAAGGTTTTGTGCCTTCTTTGTTTAGATTACCTGCCCATGGGAGGACTCCTGCAACCACCACTCCTTTTCCCTTTTAGCTCTTAACTCCTTCCTTTTCTAAATATTAACCCCTGCTTTGCTTCTTTTAAGGGAACAGAGCCAGGTCACCAGAACTGGTATTGATTAAGAAGGCTCCAGGCAGGGATTAAAGCACAAATCTTCCCCTTATGTGCCTGGATAGTCAGACAAGAAGCCTACCAGTTGACTCGTGGGGTCCTCTGTTGCTTTTCCAGGGAATTTAGGTGTCTGAGACTGAGCATCTTGCAGGTCTTGGGCTCACTGCAATGCCTCTGCTGGTGATTTAACCTATGGCAAATATTTTGTGTATTTGGATGGAGGACAGTATTCACTCAGGTGTTGCTCTGGGAAATTCCGCCCTTCTGCAGCAGGGATTTGGGGCACCTGAATTTCTCTGCAGAACTTTTTGCCCCCTATTCCCATATCTGCCAGGTGTCAGCTTGTTCTGGGGAGCTGAAGGTAATGCCTAGGTTTAGGAAGAACCTTTTTTCCTTCTCCCTTTCGCCTCTCCCCATTGCTGCTGCGTTTACAACTCATTTACAATGGCGTTACTATCTGTGTCTTTCAGATAAATCGACAGAGGATTACAATTCATCGAATACGTTGGTAAGCCTTATATTCACATTCTGTCTCAAGTTTGGGGATTTAAAAACTTGCACGTAGTAGTGTTAGCTGCCTGTAAACTTTCAGTTCACTTAGTGTTTTAAAATCTGAACTACATATATTTGTATAGTGAATGTATGTTTATAAAAAAAATTATCCTAAAAAAGTCATGCTGCTCTCATTTTAATTTTTTTTTCAACTGGGGGAGAATCAAGTAGACAGAAGAAACTTTTATTAGTGAATAGAAATTAGTGAATTAATGAATAGGAATTTTCCTGTTTTCATAAAAGTTGATCTATTCTTGTACCTATAATTTAATAACCGCTCTGCTTGCAAGTTTTATATGTCTCTATATAACTCTGTGACGTACCAAAGTTTAATTACTAACTTGCAAGATCTGATTGACCAAACCTGATGTTGATTAGTGTTGATTAACCAAACTAATCTCCAGCAGAAGAGGAAATAAACAGTTCTCCTCCTCTGTCTTTGACCTTTACTCTGTCCTTACCAGGGCAGGCACCGCTCCTGTTTGCGTTGTTGGAAGACATGATATGTTTCTGTATGTATGTGTGAGATGGAAGAAACCAAACCTTCCATTTAAGATGATTCATAAAACCCCACAATTCCCTCATCTCTTGTTTTCTTACTGCCCTGCCATTATCTAGAGTAGGCTTGTTCTGCTCCCTTCTGGAGGCAGTGTAATTGCTAAGATTTTGTCATGTCAAGGGCGCTTTAGCAATTATATGTCAGGATGCTGGTGACTTCAGATATTTTAGATTCAGTGAAATATTATGCTGGTTTTCCCCTCTTCCAGACAGAACTTTGTTTTAGCACTTGTTCCCCTGCCACTCTTAGGGAACTGTTGATAAACAACCTGGAAGCAGGAGCACAAGCAGAACTGGTCTAGTGGGTTGAGTAGCTCACCAAGTTTATTTTGCAATGTTTACAGTGTAAAGGATGCCATGAACTTCAAATCCAGTTTCAAATTTAAAAGGTTAAAAGTGGCTTTGTGTTCTGATGGCTGTATTGCAAAAACTACCAGATAAATACTTTTAACCACTTATAAAACTTTAAAAAAAAAAAAAGTTCCCATTTTTTGAAAGCTTTTCCTTTAGAAAGCAATTTTGAAAGGGATTTCAAAGATCTTACCAGATTCTGCTTTCAAAATCTATCATTCCTTAATTCCGAGTCATAATACCTAAGCTGATGTTAACTTGACCTCCCAATTTATAGAGAAAACATACAGGTTTTGATGCAGATTAAATCATTTAAAGACTGAAATCTCCCATCTGCATGACTGGGGTTTGGAGCAAGCAGAAAAAAAAAGAGAAAACATAAATAGGGGCAGATCTGTCCAAGCCCAGATGTTCTCCCCAGAGTTGCTGGGTCTGCTGTATGGATGTTGGGAAGACAGTGAGAGAGCCCAGGTGGGTCTGAAGTCCTTGTCTGCATGATTGGGGTTTGGAGCAAGCAGAAAAAAGAGAAAACATAAATAGGGACAGATCTGTCCAAGCCCAGACGTTGTCACCAGTTGCTGGGTCTGCTGTATGGATGTTGGGAAGACAGTGAGAGAGCCCAGGTGGGTCTGAAGTCCTTGGGAAGAAGATCGCAATCAGACAGGCAGATCGTGGAATCACGATGAATAGATGACAGCTCTGTCTGACCAGTTGCATCAGGCAGCATTGGACTGTCCCTCTGTTTCCCACAAGGGCTCAAAATGTTTGGGGTTCAAATTTTTCTGATATTGTAACTTGCTAACTTGCTACCTGCTCTGATTGTTATTTTTCTGCACTTGCTTCAATGCAGTCTCTGTTAAGAGCTTAATCCAATGTTTGTGATTTATTTATAACAAGTGATTGGGTTTTTATTTTTGCTATCCCAAATCCACATGCAGAATGTGAAGGCTGTCTCTGAGACCCCGGCAGTGCCCTCAGTCTCTGAAGATGAAGATGATGAAGATGATGCAGCTCCACCCCCGGTGATAGCTCCACGACCTGAACACACAAAATCCGTGAGCAGAAATGCTTCCTTCAGCCCCCACCGCTGCGGTCGCAGTCGGGTGTTGGCTGCGACTCCTCATCCATGCTGCGTGGCGTGGTGCTGAGCCCTTTTTGGGAGCAGGAGGGATGAGATGGGGGCCATTCCTTCTGATAGATCACCCTCATATTATCACCTGCCTGGTTGGGGGGGGACAAGAGAGTCCTTGTTTAGTGGTTAACAAAGTAGCTATAGAAGTGCATCCCTGACAACAGAATAGAAGTGTTTTAAGTCTTCATTTGCTTTGTATTAATATGTATGTTTTTCTCAACAAAATTAGATATATACCCGCTCTGTGATAGACCCCCTTCCTCCTCCTACCAGAGATGTGGCGACCTCTCCTATTTCTTCTCCTTCGGAAAACAACACAACAGTGCCTGACATGCTGGCCAGGAACACGGAGAAACAAAAGAAAAAGCCAAAAATGTCAGATGAAGAGATCTTGGAAAAATTAAGTATGTCCTTTTTTTTTAAAAAAAAAAATTTAAATTCCATGCCCTGCTGTGTTGATTTCTCAAGATCTTAATAAGCTGAAATGTTTTGACATTCCCATTTTGAGATCCCTTACTAAAGACATTGCATTGTGACTGTGTGCCAAAACTGGGGGCAGATGGAAAGGAGGGCACATAAATGTAAGCTGAGCACCTGTGGTGCCAGCTGAAGTCCCCGGGGAGGTACAGATCCTCAGGCTCTGCAAAACAAACCCTGAAGGAGGAACATCTACTTAACCATGAAGTCTGAGATTGTTCCGCATCTTGATATTCTGCAGCTCAGCAGCGTGGGTGATTCTATTGAAAAGTTAGATATAAGTTTTCCAAAAGATGGAGAGAAGATTAATGCATCGCCAAGTGAGTACCCAAATTAGTGGTTGCTTCTGAGGAAAAAACCATCATGTGTCTCTGTTGTGTCCTAGTGTCTTCAGGAGTCCGTACCTTCAGTTCAGGTGCTCCTCTGCCGCCTGGTATTTTTGGGTTATGCTGTAGCGTATCCAGCAGCTGAACCAGCTCTTCTGTGCCATTGATTGCTGTCCTCAGCCTGGGCCAGTTGTTATGGCCAGTAGAGCATTTCTTATTTGTTGAACTACTAATCCTGTATTAATTACACACACACCTTGCTTGCCAGTGGATGTAAATTGTGTTAGCACCTCTGTGGTCAGGCTGGTCTCCTCGGCTGAGGTTATACCCCTAAAGGTCAGTATTTTATGGAGCAAAGACTAGCAGCTAGAAGAAGGAAAATTTAATCTGAGGGTACAACTTAAAAAAAAAAATTAAAATGTCATCTGAGTTCCTCATTCCTGTAAATAAAGCCTAAATTGAATTGATGGCATGTTAACTGGAACTGCTTTAGCATTGAGGGGTTTTGTTATAAATATATGTCTGTGAAGTTCAGTGGCTGCTGTTGGGTGTCAGCATCTAGATGTGGGCTAGTCAGAAATATGCGATGATGGTTTCATCCTCTTGTAAAATGATGTTTTTCCACTGAGGGCAGTGTAGTTGTACAAGGACATGCAGCCTTCTCATATTTTGGTTTGACATGTGAATAAAATGACTAAAATCTTAAAGCGTAGATATATTTACACGTACTGGAGATGTGCAAAGGTTAAAAGGAAGCTGATAAAAGGAATAGGAAGGGAAAGTGATAAAGGAAGCTCCACCTCTTGGCATTAACACAGAACTGGTGCAAACGTTAATGAATCCTCACCTGAGTTTTTGGAAGGAAAAAAACATTGCTCCATTTTATAGATGAGAGAATTAAACAGGGCAAGACTGGCAACTGCCTCTTGTCACTGCAGCATTCTGCCCTGTCACTGCCTTGGGGAAATATTTGCTTGTCTTGCCTTCTGAACTTGAAGCCTGTGTTAGGCTTTGAGGGAAAGTCTATGAACATTTATCCAGAAATGCTTGTCCCCAGGGCAGACAGCATTGCTTCCGTAATTGTCCAGTGGGTTTTATATAGTCAGATCTCTCTTCCTGCCCTTCTCTCCGAACATGGGCCATATTCCCTTCCTTTACTTCTGTCCGCCCTGAACCCTGCGGGTTTGGCTGCTCTCCAGTGGTGTCTGAAAATAGCCTGCTCTTACTCTGCTGGCTACTGGATTTCTTGGCCTAATGACCGTGAGCGGTTTTTTTGCCAGTATACATCTGTTTAAGCTCAGCCCTAGACCCCTGTGAAAGCAGCACCATATGTTGGCAGCTTGAGCGACTTGCAAACACCGACTCGGATGCAGCTCTGCGTCCCTTGATCCTGTTAGCCACCCTGGTGCTGTTAGAGAGGAGACTTGCTCCCAGCTGAGCTCTAGGAATTATTGGCTCCAATTTCTTCAGCCTAAAAAGATTCCTGCCTGTCGTAGGGCTGTTAGGAATATCAGTTAATGTTTGCAGGGAGCGTTGAGTTTCGGTGATGCTCCTTTTGTCACCTTACTCCAATTTATGCCTTGGCAAACTGCCCTGTGATTTGCAGGACTCCAGCACATCTACATAGCCTGCCCTTACACTGAGAGCTCCCTCCCCTCATCCAGAAAATGTTGTGTTCCTCGTGGGTACCAAATCCACCTTGCACCGCCCCGTGCTGCAGAACACCAGGCAAAGCGCTTTTCCCTCTGAGGGATGCACTCATACACTTTTTTCTGCTTCAACAGCCACATTAGGGGAGAATGAGCTGAGATTGCCTTGGGTTGCTCTCCAAAACCCGAGCAATGCTGCAGTTGCGTGGTAACTGCTGCTCAAAACCTGCACTGACTGTTGAGTTCCTGGAAGAACAGCTGAGCAATGCCCAGGCTGTGCGTGCCCCATCCCTGGAGGGGTTCAAGGCCAGGCTGGATGAGGCTTTGGGCAACCTGGGCTAGTGGGAGGTGTCCCTGCCCATGGCAGGGGGGTGGAATGAGATGAGCTTTAAGGTCCCTTCCAACCCAAACCGTTCTGTGATTCTATGAAATACCTGTGAGAGGGGAATGCTGCAGCTGGTATGTCTGTAAATATCCAGGGACTTCCCTGGTGTTCGTGTGCCTCTGGATTGCTGACGAGTGGTTCTCAAGGCTCAGCAGAGCCAGCTGTGGGGCTGCTCTTAAAGTACAGTTGGTTCTTATAGCTGTATGAAAAAGTACTTATAAAATCCTCTTTTTTTTTTTTTTTTTTTTTGTAGGAAGTATTGTGAGTGTGGGTGATCCAAAAAAGAAGTACACGTGTTTTGAGAAGATTGGACAAGGGTTAGTATATGCTCCTTCTCTGACCTATACCTTTCCTTACGCCAAGAAGGAAGCACTGGAACCAGGCTAAGTTAGTTTGCTGGAAAAGCTGTTGGCGATGCTTTGGAGAGTTTATTTTGTTTGTTTTTTTTTTTTTCTTTTGGGGTTTTTTTTTTGGTTGTCTTGGTTGGGTTCCACCCCCTCCAGCTCTTCTCCCTTTCCTGGCAAAGTCTTGAGTCACAGGGACTGGGTTTTTCTGTGTGATGGTGTTTTAATGTAAGAAAAGACGTCATTAGATGATCAGGTTGCTAAATATAGCTGCAAGCAGGGAAGGAACTGCTTATTTTCAGCATGCAAGACAATCTTCAAATTACAGATTTGCGTTCTGCATTAACTTTCCTCCATGGGAGTGTTGTACCCCTCTTAGCAGTGTAGGGGGAGAACAGGGGTTGGAGGAGAGGCTATAATGAGGCAAATCAGTGCAAAGCACTGAGAGATCTGCTGTCAGCTCCATGTGCCAACGCTCAAACTCCTGTTTCCCTCACTACAAATGCCATGTTTTGTTTATTTTAGCTGATCCTGTCTGCTCTGTAAGTCTGCAAGCCAGGGCAGTGCAGTCATGCCAGTTGAGATGGGATCAACTCATGGTCCTACAAGCTGTGCTAAGCTGCTGGTTTAGCAGCAAGGGTTTGGATGACTGTAGTGTCCCATATTGGGAGCTTTGTTCTCCGTAAGTTCTCTGTCTTCTGCTCCAACAGCAGTCTTGGCTCAGAAATATTTCAGATTATGTTTACCACTGGAATGGGACTGAGAGCACTTCAAAGAGACTAGTGGGAAGGGGTGTGTTTCAAGCACTCAGTCTTGCTATGAGGCACTAATAAGTGGTTTTTTTTCTTTTTTCCTTTTCTCTCTTTTGTTTAGAGCCTCAGGTACAGTTTACACGGCAATTGATGTAGCTACAGGACAGGAGGTAAGTGCTGCCGGAATACCACAGCCGTGGATTTTGGATTCTGTCCTACAAGTTCAAGTTGATGCTGTAAAATAAAGACGGTCTTTCAGGGGTTCATGGCATCTTATTTTTAATGAGATATTATTTTCCTTGCTAATGAGGCATGGTCGAGTGGGCTGAGCAGAGAACTGGAAAAAATTATATTCCAAGTTTTGATTCCTGAATCATTTCATATTTATAAAGAATCTTTCAGTGACCTCAAAGGCTGGAAGCAAATGCTCGGGCTGGACAGTTCCTCAGCAGAAGTTTCTCTCTTCATCCCAAAGATTCCTGCCTGTCCCCATTTAAACTGTTTTATATGCCCTCTGCTCCTTTTGCTTCCTACACTTCTACTAGTTCTACTAGTTCCTCTCCCACCCTTTGCCCATTTGCTTTCTGCCCTTGAATTCAGAGACAAGAAATGTCTGTCTCTTTTTTTTTTTTTCTTTTTCACCCTTCCCGAATATTGAAAAGTGCCCTCCGTATTCCATGCATGCATAATAAACTATTAGCGACGGATATGCAGCATCTGTGGAAACCGTTATTGCTAGACGGAGGATTTTTAAAAAGGAAAGTGCATGCATTATTCCAAATGTATTTATGGAAGTCTGCAGAAATGCGTGTCTGCTTTGCATTTGTACAATGTCAGGGTTATCCACCAGTAAATTTCATAACTGTGCTTTTTGCTGAAACTTCTTCACGCCCTTTTCCAGTTCCTGAGGAATTCATCCAGTTTAATTGCAGCTTCTGAGGAAGGGGTGTTGCATTTATTTTGAAGCCATGAGAAATTTTATAGGAGGAGGAACTACTTTAGTGGTTTTCTGCTTTCTTTCTGGACCCCTTCGGTATCTCCCGTGTGAATATTTGAACCCTTATATTACAACAGACTTGCAAATAATTCTGATTACACTCATGTGATCTGGCCCTGGGTTTTTAAATTGCTGGAGTTTTAATAACTGGAGTTACTGGCTCCCCTCCATGTGCCTAAGCCTCTTTCTCTACAAGTAGCCGGTTTGTAAAGGCGTAATTACATTTCGTTCCCTTTGCCCAAATATTGTACCAAGTACAGTTGGGTTGTAACATCTACAGAAGTGTTTCTGCTTCCTGCTGTGCTGAGTATTATTGATTTCAAGGCTTGTCTGAGGGCCAGGTGCTCTCGTGAAGTACTGTTAGCATGGAGAGTTAAACATAAGAGTTAAAAACATATACATACCATCCTGCTTTCTGCATATATACGTGCAGAGTAGGTGCAGTGAAGCAGGTGGAAAACTGCAAAGCCAGTGGGCTACAACTGACAAATCCATCCCTATTGCCCGTGAATCCAATTCACTTATTTTCAGCTTTTTATCTAAACACTGGTGGCTCCTTCCCTCAGGTCTTGCAGTGACAGAAAGAAGCAGAATTACCACCTTGAAGTACTAAGTGTAGGCTGTGTTATTTACCCCCTCCATGCATGGCCACCCTGATGGAGATTTCTAGAAGCACCGATTTGCACGGGAGTGGAAGGAAAAAAAACCCAAAACTTCCAGAAACATCCAATCCAAAATAAAATTAATAAGAATCCCTGAAGAAATCAGATGTTTTTTATATATCAGCCCATACTAGAGTAAGGGATCCCTTCTTTGCTACCAAGAAGTTGTAGATGGAGATGGCTATCTAACCATGACATGAAGGTCCAGTATGAAAATAATAATTCTCCTTGTTTTCAGCATTCTGTCCTCCAGCATGTGTGGAAATGGACCAGGTGCAGGAACTCAGAGTTACTAAATGACTGAGCAACTTATGATGAAAAAGTGTTTTCCCCCTTCATGTGAATGTGGGACTAAAATAGTTGACACTGGTTCTGAAAGATCTCTAGGGGACTCTTGTAATAATGCTTCACTTGGTCTTTCTTCACTGCAGGTTGCAATCAAACAGATGAATTTGCAGCAGCAACCCAAAAAAGAACTGATTATTAATGAAATCCTTGTGATGAGGGAAAACAAAAACCCCAACATTGTCAACTACTTGGACAGGTATGTCTTGATTTCGTAGAAATGTTTCATAGAATCATTAAGGTTGGAAAAGACCTCAAGGATCATCAAGTCCAACCGTCAACCCAACACCACCCAACCCACTAACCCATGTCCCCAAGCACCACATCCACACGTTTCTTGACCCCCTCCGGGGATGGTGACTCCACCACCACTGCCCTGGGCAGCCTGTTCCAATGCCTCATCACTCTTTCTGTGAAGAAATTTTTTTCTAATATCCAGCCTAAACCTCCCCTGGCGCAACTTGAGGCCATTTCCTCTTGTCCTAACTTGAAGAGTTCACAAAGGGGCTCTGGAAAATGCTTCCTTATCATTGTCTTAAGTGACTCTGTCTCAGCCTAATTCAGCTATAGGACACCCTTGCATTGTTTATTGTGTGTGGCAAGGTTGGGGTGTGGGTAACGTGTTTGTCTGTCTCCATGTCCCAGCAGAAACAGCTGTCTGAATCGGTATTAGTGGGGTACCTAGGCTCTCTTTAGAGATGCTGGCAGCAAAGACCTTAGCAGTATGCTGTCAGGATGCCATTTTTTCAGCTCTCTCCTTTGCCAAATTTGACACATTTCCTTCCTGCTACTAGAAGAGAAATAGAAATCGTTTTAACTGGTTTTGTTTGCATTTGCTTTCTTCTTCCTCTTCTTTCCTCTTCCACTGAGCTATTCTGCTTGCGGAGAAGCAAGCTCCTTCCAGGGTTAGATGGTAATCTTGTCCCTGTGACTGTCCACTGAGGTTTTCTGCACAGTAGCATACAGTGACAAGGGTGAATGACAAGTGACACATAACTAAGCAAGGCTGTTTTCTTGTGGGTGTGAATAAGGGAGAGAAGGAGACCTGTTACAGATGTAAGAACTCATTGGAAGACAGAGGGAATGGGGTTATCCATGCTCAGAGTGGCTCATACACATGCTGTGGCACTCCTGCTCAGCTTTGGATATGTTACATCCAAATGGGACAGCTTCTCCTTGGATCCCTACTTCTTACCAAGAGTTGCACCAAATAACTTATCTATGTACAGACCTGCTCTGCTTGTTCTTGAGCTGATGTCCCTTGGACTGTGACAATAATGGAGCAGAAGCAAGCAGCACAGTGGCTGCTGCGCTGAGTGTGAACTGCTTCTAAAATAAACATGGGTAGCTGTGAAAATTCTGGTCACTGTAGCTCAAGGCAGTAAAATGCCCAAGTCTGCAAACAAACATGAGGGCGATGGTAGCACCATCATCAGCTGTTGAGAGCCTGACTGGTTTGAAAAGAGCAACTGGGAAATGTGCTTCTTTGGGGGTAGGGAGCTGCCTTGGAAAGTGCAAGAAATTCTTGCATCTGCCCTGTTGGAATTTCAGGAAACAGTCCCAAACTGTCAGCATTGAAATCTGGGGCGTACTGAAAGCCCAACAGGCAAAAGCATGGCTTGAATTCAGCGTTGGTGTATTGTGTCAAGCCTGTGTCATTCACCTTATGTTAAAGATATAGCTAGGTCCCGTCGAGCTGCAGCGGGATTACCAGTCTGCACTCACGTCAGAATCCAGCGGTCCTAATGAATAACAGGTTTGGTTTATCGCAAGGTAAAGAGTGCCTAGATAGGCTGAGCTGCAGGCTTTAATCTTGGCAGCTTATTTTTTTGGAAGACGCAATGGAGGGATGTGACCTAGAATCTCTTCTGGAAATCTGAGAGAATATTTGCACACTTGTTTGCTCTGCGTGCATATAAAAAGCCCATCAGCTGTGTCTTTAACGGGTTTCTTTAACAGGCTTTTAAGTACAAAAAAGTACTTCTTATATCCAGCAGCATCAGTTGGGATGCTGAATTTATATCATGCTGTGTCCTGTGCATGGCTGTAAAGAGCTGCTTTGTTGGAAGGACAGAAAGTCTGCTCCTGAAGCTTTGTGGAGGGGGGGGGGAGGTATGTGTGCAGGGAGGTGATGCTGGGCAGACACCCCCTTCTTACAAAGAGCAGAAGGATATTACCTGTGTAAAATGAAACAAGTGGTGAAGAAGAGTTAAGAATTGTGTCTGGGCTGAAACTGTTCATTTCTCCTTGCTTAGAGGCTTTGTTTTGGCAAAACTGTTGGAGAGACACATCCTTCCCCCTAGAGACAGCATCGCTGGGTCCATGCACTTGCCTTGTCTGGCCGGTACACCCCAGCTGTAGGGTAGCTGCACATCCTGCTGTCTTGTTCAAACTTCCAGCAACAAAAGCTGCTGCTTTTGTCCTCTGCTTTCTCTCACTAATCTTTTTCAGAGGGATTAGCTTTTGTCTGGGTGCTGCAAATGGACAGAGCAGCAACTAGGATGAACATGGGGGTTCCTGTGCCTGTTACACCGCTTCAGCTTCGCAGCTGCAGGATCCCGTTCCCGGGTAACTGCATCCCTCCTGCCTGGCCTGATGTGCCTCTCTGCTTCCTGAGCGCTGAAGGAAGCTGATATTTGAACGCCACTTGCTGGCTTCTGCCTGCTGCTGTCGCAGAAGGAAGTATGTGGAAGGATGTGTGCTTGCCACTGTGGGACCTGGTTCCTTTTTTGTGGCTCTGTTTCTGACTGTGTCTCCCCTTCTGAGTGCCTAGTGAGAGCTGCAAGGTAGGCATTGGTATAAACCATCTCTCTTGCTTCTCTGCCTCAGCTCCTGCCCTTATGCAAGGCTTTCCTGTGCTTTATTCTCTTACTTTTGTGACCCACTTGTTTGTGGTTAAGACGTCTGTCTGGTTTACTGTCCCTCCAACCATCGCTGTGCAAACGGTGCATTTATGCTCCAGACAGCTTTTCTGCCGCAGTGCAAGCGGGCAGTGTTGCGCGAAGGTGTGCTGTGACATTTAAGGTAGTGACATGGCCTAATTCAGCTGTACTTAGGAGCTGAATTTAGAAGCATCCGGCTCTGAAGACAGTGACGCTAGTTTTCCCGTGCAGACAAGCAGCCGCTTGTGCAGAGTTACCTTCTGGAGGTGCCAGTTTCTTTCTGCTGCATGAAGGAAGCTCTCAGAGTCCTGCTTCTAAACTCAGGCATCTAAACACAGGCATCAGATGCCCAGAGATAGGCAAACTCCTGCCCTTTGGTTTCTTTCTTTCTTTCTGAAGAACTCTGCTTAACCTAATAAACCCCACAAATCCTCCATTTAAGTGGTAGCTACTGTTACCCTCACCCCAAACTCAACCAGGGCTGGAAGGTCCGTGAATGAAGCTGAAGATGTCTGCTACAAGAAAACAGGGATTTCTTTACAGGCTTACTTCATATTTGTATGTTGGAGGCAAGTTGCTGGTGCAGAAATCATAGAATCACAGAATAGTTTGGGTTGGAAAGGACCTTAAAGCTCATCCAGTTCCACCCCCCTGCCATGGGCAGGGACACCTCCCACTAGCCCAGGTTGCCCAAAGCCTCATCCAGCCTGGCCTTGAACCCCTCCAGGGATTCTGTAATGAATGATCTTGCTCTTCTGGGGAAAAGCAAATTTTATAAAGTTGATAATTAAAAAGAAGCCTAGGACTGAGTGGTGTGTGTTTGTGATGGGAAGAGCTTGGTGGACACCTTTCTATAAGTGGAAGCTGAGGAACATCTTGCAGGAGCAGACATTACCTGCTCTTGCAGATGGATGAAGAGAAAGCTGTAGACCACCTCCTTCCTCAAAGACTTTCATCAGCTTATTTATACTGCCAGCCTTGTTTTGCAAGTCCTGACGTCATGTGGAGAGCATCACGTAGGTGTATGGGCTTCCTGGTGGTGTCTCTGGAACTGCTGCGAGCGTGGTTTTGAGGCTGGCAGCCCAGTGACTAAAACTGGCCTCTGCTGTGGCAAGAGAGTGAGAAGATCCCCGAGACGGTATCACCCAGTCTTCTGAAGTGACATTTGCTTGGTGGCAGCTCGCGGGGAGCCACCGTGAATCCCACCTCTCTGCGTGTTATGTCAGATCTATCAGTTGTGGAGGTGCCTGGATCTTGGCACATGCCTTTGGCTGCTCGTGGCACAGCTTTGGTTTGCAGGGTGGCTCTTGGCTCGCTCCATCCTTTTTGGCTGTGGAGACACACCAACTTGTTCCCAGCATGTGCAACTTGAGATTGTCACGCAGGAGCGGTGGAGCCCATTCTGTCCCCGTCCTTAGTGTCAAGTGGATTTGGACTCCAGAGGGTGCTCCTGGCAATGAAAGGAAGCATTGGGACGTCCAGGGTGACACTGATTTGTTGAGAGGGTGCTGATACAGTCTGGAGAGAGCCTGGTTTGGCAGGAGTGATGAAGAAGCAGCAACAGCATAGGGGCAGGAAGGAAGGGTGTGGATGGAGTCCTTTCAGAGTCTGGTGGAAGGTAGGTGACGTGCAGAGATGGCAGGAGTACTTCTGAAAGCAATTCTGGTGCTCCTCTGTCACTGCAAGGGGCTGCTGGGCAGGTCACACTGCTTTTGGTGACATCTGTGATGCTGGGGAAAAAACTGCCAGTGTATCAGCTTCTGTTCCGTAGTGGAGACCTGTCTGCTCTGGGAGCAGAACTCTGTGTCCTTGGGCTCTCCATCCTGAAAGAAACTCCAGACTCTGATCCTCAGCATCACCAAACCAAGACACCGTCCTTGTCTCCAGTATTAAAAGCTCTCTATAACTGTAACACTTGTGTCACACAGCTCACACCACAGCTCTTATTTTTGGGGGAGTTTTTCTATCGGCTCAGGTGTTGGCAGTGTGTCCTTTTGGGGTCAAAGCGTACCTCCTGCCCACTCTTGTCTGTCTACTTTCCATGCCAAGTTGGGCTTAATAACTTCTTTCTCCTTCACCATTGCTTTCTAGCTGATTGTTCCCTAGAACCTGTCCTGCTTTTTGCCTTTGGCTCCTAGCAAATTCACTCTTCCAGTAGGATCAGTGTTTCTGAGCAAAGCAAACATCTGCTTGATGAACCCTAATGCCAGCAGAAGCTTTTAATTAGTTCCTCTGCCCTCACTCTTGACTCATCTGTCCACTCTTGACTCATCTGTCCACTCACTTTAAAAATGGAGCATAGGCTGAGAAGGTGGGTTTTCAGGTTTTCAAACTGATGATTCCTTCCTTCAGGAATGTGTCATCCTGATGTATCTGTCATGGAAGATTGTGTTAATGTTTTTCCAGATGGGCCCAAAAAAGGCAGAAGTGGTTGGTGGTTTGGGTTTGTTGTTTGTTTGGTTTGATTTTTTTTTGGTTTTTTGTTTTTTGAGTTAATGCTGAAGTCTTCATCCCAGGTCTTCTACTTTTAGACATGAGCACACACACTCCCAGCAGAGAAAAATAACCCAAATGGCTGAGAAAACTCACCCTCACCTCAGCTGGCTCCTCTTCATCTTCCTACAGGTCTTTTTGGACAAGACCTGCCCTTTTGGGCTTTCCTTTTTTGTTTTAAACCTTTAGACTTGCTATTGCATCCAGCAAGTTGTTCTCATTTGCCCTTGTGAACGGTTCTGAATTTTTCAGACAAAATCCCAAACTGGTTTGGTAGCATAAAAAAGATAGAGATGATTTTCAAATTCATTATGCCTGATGGTTTCTCTGCACTTCTAAGACAGCTTTAAAACCCAGTGCATTCTGGCTGGGTAAACAGTGGCGTGCTCATACTTGCTGATTTTAAAATCTGGTTTTGGCTCTTCAGTTACCTTGTAGGAGAAGAGCTCTGGGTGGTCATGGAATACTTGGCAGGAGGCTCCCTAACAGATGTTGTGACAGAGACCTGCATGGATGAAGGACAAATTGCAGCTGTGTGCCGAGAGGTAAAGCGGCACTCACGCTCGGAGGGAGCTGTGATTTGGGAAGGGGACACGGGGCTTTCCACGACCTGTCACTGGTGGAATAGCTGTCTCCAGCTTCTGTAATGCAGCAGGATTTCATCTGGGAGGTCGCAGCGTACAATCCTAGTGCAAGCCTGATGTTTCACCCTAGAGGGAGGACTGGGGTGCAGAATGGGATTGGAATCCCCTTGGTTATGCCTGTTCTCCAGGTCTTTTGAGACCAACCTGTCCTCCTAGGACCCAGTGGGATGTCTCACTGTAGCCCTGCACACACTGGATAGATGAAATACTCGAAGACACTAAACCCTGGCTACTCAAAATGCATGTTGTGAGAGTCCCTTCGCTGGCTAATTGTGACTGGTGAATAATTTCATACACAGTAAGAATATCTCTATTATTTTTATTTTCCAGTGTCTCCAAGCTCTGGAATTCCTCCATTCAAACCAAGTTATTCACAGAGACATCAAGAGTGACAACATCCTGCTGGGAATGGATGGCTCTGTCAAACTAAGTATGTGGGGAACAGCACTGCTGATGGCTTGAGTTATCAGCCCAGACTTGTTATCTGCTGGTGGCCAGGCTTGTTGGGGAGATGGGTGTTTGAGATTCTTGATGCTGTGGCGATGAAGAGGCTGTAGAAATGCTCCTGGAGGAATTTTAGTGGCATTGGTTTTAATGGAGATCGGCAAGCATGAGTCCTCGTGAACTGATACCAGACTCGAAGTGAGGTTTGGGGTTCGTTTAGCTTTGGGCCATCTGGTTTTTGTGGACTGAAATAACAGTATTTTAATGCTGTTCCAGTCTAGAAAGCTGGGTTTGAAGACGTAGGGCCAGAAGTCTTTATTTGTGAGTGATCTCTTCAGTCTGGAAAGGACTGCAGGTACCTGGGGGGCTGGGGGAATGGAGGGAGAATTGAAAAATGTGTATCTAGAAAACATTTAATCTTACAACACCAACCCAGACTGCACTCTAAATGTTGTTTCCTCCTTGTATAATCAGCAGTAACGAAGACCTTGAGACTGTTCTGCCCCTTGGGTGCTAAGGTAGCTGTTGTGCTTGTCGTTGTCCATGCAGAGATAAGCTGGTGAATGATTATCTTCCACCCAGAGCTTTAACAGATTTGTGCTTCCTTTCTCTCCCTCTCAGTTCTGTTGGCTAGCACCCAACAGGCATAAATAAATCTATTTTTGTCAGCAGTGACAGCAGATATGACTCAAAATTCACACAGTGCAGATATGCTGAGTAAGAAGGTGGGGTGTTTGTTTTTTTTTTTGCACATAATTACTTTTTAGACTGAAGCTGTACTTTGGTACAGTCAGATCTCTGGAGTGTTAGCGATGAATAGCTGATCAGGGCCAAAGTGCTCTGTTCTTCTAGAATAACTTCTTTGAGCACAGTATGCAGGTACTGGGCTGTAAAGTTAGAATAATCCCCATGGGTATGGTGCAGTAACCTTCTGGACCTGAGCTGCTTATTGGCTCTGATGAAAATTTCCTCTGTTTATGAACCATATGTACCTTTCCTGGTTGTTACCCTTGATGAAAACTCAGCTAGGGATCAGTTTAATTTTCATCATTCTGCCTAAAATTAGACCCGCGGTGCCACAGGGGGTCAGGACGGACAGTGCATCTTGCTGTGTTGATTCTGCTGGGCTCGCTAGAACATAATTAGGTTTCTTTTGGTAAGTCAAATACAAATAAGGCATAGAAGCCAGCAATCTTTGTGTGAAGGCTCTCCATCTTCCTGTCTATTCCAAGAAAATAATCTGTATGAATTTAGGTGCTTTGAATTTATTCTGAACACTGTTTAGTCTGTAAAGCAAATCCTGTTTGAGGGATGATATATCTTCTGGGGAAGTAATAGATCTGGGAGTGAAAATATCACCAGGCAATACATTGTGTGGGTTGGGGGGTGTATCTGGAGCAGACTGCGCATTAATTTCTATTTTCATATACCCAGGAACAGTCTTTAGACCACATATTACATGGTATATTACAGCTGCATAATGCTGCACCAGCCAGTGCAGCAGGGTAATGTGTACCACAGCTCTGACATCAGTAAGTGGTGTTTTTTTGAGAAACTTGCTGATTTCTATATCTGTTTCTTCCCCCCCCTTCCTGCTCTTTAATTCTCCAGCTGACTTCGGCTTCTGTGCCCAGATCACTCCTGAGCAAAGCAAACGCAGCACCATGGTGGGGACACCGTACTGGATGGCACCCGAAGTGGTGACGCGGAAAGCGTACGGGCCCAAAGTGGATATCTGGTCGCTGGGGATAATGGCCATCGAGATGATCGAAGGAGAGCCCCCCTACCTCAATGAGAACCCCCTGAGAGTAAGCGAGTATCTTTTACCCTCAAGTTTTCGCTAAGCCTGCTGCGGAAACCAGGCTCTAAAGGAGGCAGGTGGATCCTCCGGTGCGGTTTCACCACCTGCAGCCCCGTATCTCCTTAGGTGTCATAGTGAGAAGGTTCATAGAGTTTTAGTTAGAAGCCGTAGTTTGTTCTGGGTAGCAGAGGTGTGGGTTCTCCCTGTGCAGACCCTCTGCTCAGCTCTGATGAGTTAGATCATAGAATCACAGAATGGTTTGGGTTGGAAAGGACCTCAGAGATCATCTCTTTCCAACCCCCCTGCCATGGGCAGGGACACCTCCCACTAGCCCAGGTTGCCCAAAGCCTCATCCAACCTGGCCTTGAACCCCTCCAGGGATGGAGTTCTCCTTAAATTCAGAAATAGGACACATTATAAACAAAGCTTTTACCTACTGGTGGATTGTTCCTCCTTGCACGTTCCAAGTAAAGCTACAAGCTTAATAAGTCTTTAGACAGGGCTTAAGCCTCCTGTTGTCTTTCCCTTGCTCAGTTTTTAATGAAAGGGGAGATGCTGTCAGTTCGTAGGCATGTAACTGCTCTTAATGTAAGCCAGGTCTGTGGCTTCTCCCTCAGCTACACAGCATGAAGGGATCTAGAAAAATTCTGGTTTAACTTTTGTCTCCATCTCTTGCACTGGCAGTGATTTTTGGGAGAGAAGAGAAGCAGCAAAGAAGGGTGAACTGGGTGTTGAGTTAGAGGAGGGTGGTTCAGTAACAGTAGTTTGGCCTCGTTTAACTCAAGTTGTGCCAATTCCCAGGCTATCAGACTGCTCCCATGGGATGTGCTGAGCCATGTGCTCAAAGGGTCTGCACGGTACCAAGTCTGACAGATTTCAGTTTCCTTTGAAAAGGAAAAGTTTCTGGCATGAAATCCTGAAATGGATGAATTCCGAGTTCCTTGATTCTTCGAGGACTGTGTGTGTGTGAATGCTTCATCCCCAGCCACTAGCAGACCTGCTTGTTTCTGCGGGATGTTAAAAGCTGCTTGAGGGTCTCCAGGACATCTTTTGTGAGGAGACAACTGCATCTTTATAGTATTGACTTTTTAGGCTTTGTGCACTCAGGGAGAGTACCGACTGAACAAAATCTCCTATTTATTCAGGGGTACCTTCCCATGGAGATATAATTATTGCAGGAGTCTAGCACTGGCAGAGTCATGCCAGTTCACTTCCCTATGTAAACACGGTCTGGAATGTTGGTTTTGTCCTCCTAATCCCTTGAGAGGGCTGCAGGATCCAGACACAGATTACAAGGGTAAAACAATAAAGGATTGGATCCCATCCACATAAAAATAGGGCTGGCAGCTATTCTGTTTGCTGAAACTTAAGCATTGATCAGTCACCCTGATAAGATGGAAGTTTTTTTCCTCCCCATTGAACTGGGAGGAGGGACAGGAGCAATGGGTGTCTCTGTAACCCAGGGATGGAATCTAACCTTCATTGCATCCTGGTTCTTTTTTTTTTTTGCTTTAGGCCCTGTATCTAATTGCTACTAACGGGACTCCAGAACTGCAGAATCCGGAAAAACTTTCACCCATATTCCGAGACTTCTTAAATCGCTGTCTTGAAATGGACGTGGAAAAGAGAGGTTCTGCGAAAGAGCTGCTGCAGGTGGGTGATGGGCAACAGGGCTGAATCAGTGTGATCATAATGTAATCATGCAATCTCGAGTGGGGCCAGGCTTATGGCAAGATCTTGTTTGGACTTTTAAATACTGCATCAGCTGAAGGCACAAACACAGCTAAGGCAGCCTGCCAAGAAAAAAAAAAAAAAAAAAAAACAAAAAAAACCACCAAAAAAACCCAAAGAAAACCAAAAACACCCCAAAACCTAAATCTATAATAAAGTGTTAACAGAATACTCTCTTTTTATGCTGTACTTGCTACTAGCAGCAGCTGTGCAGCGTGTTCTGTAACCGACTTCAAACAGTAGCTGTGCCCCAGGCCTGCCAAGTGCTGAGCCCCTTAATTCCCGGGGCTGCTGCACACAGCTGGCCATGACATCTGTGGGGGTTGTCGTGGCCTTGCTGTGCTTGTTCCGATTTGGACAGCAGGAGGGCTTCTACCTATCAGATGTTCTGGTTGTCTCCCTTCTGGTGGAGGGAACACAAAGCTCTTAGGACTCTGCATGGTGGGCATTAACTGGAGCAGTTTGGCATTACAGCATTTTGTAAGATACTGCTCCTTATGGAGGTGATGGAACAGCGCTTGTGAGATATCTGAATCACAGAATGGTTTGGGTTGGAAAGGACCTTAAAGATCATCCAGTTCCACCCCCCTGCCATGGGCAGGGACACCTCCCACTAGCCCAGGTTGCTCAAAGCCTCATCCAGCCTGGCCTTGAACCCCTCCAGGGATGGGGCATCCACAGCTGCTCTGGGCAACCTGGGCCACTGCCTCACCACCTTATCATCAGTTATTTCGCTGAAAACCTGGTGTCTTAGTCTGAACTCCTGGTGAAAGGGGAGGGCAAGCTGCCAGGCTTTTTACCAACAGGGATGAGAGGAGTAGTTTGTTTGTTCCTTCTGTCAGATTTGCCATGGGGGTCGAAAATGTAGCTCTTTGTAAACTATATCCGCGATCGGGGCAATCAGACCTCAACTGTGAGACAGTTCCCTTTTATGTTTTCCTTTCTTTCCACCAGTTTGTCTAGTGGATTCGGTTTTGAATGTGGTGCTGCCTTCCGATGTAGCTCTGTGTAAACTATATCCGTGATCAGGGGCAATCAGACCTCAACTGTGAGACAGTTCCCTTTTATGTTTTCCTTTCTTTCCACCAGTTTGTCTAGTGGATTCGGTTTTGAATGTGGTGCTGCCTTCCGAGACTGTAATGAAGCATTAATCACTGGTAGAATGGCAGTAGCTGAAAGATCGCTTTTTCTCCTGGACTTCCCAGCCCCAAAATATCAGAGAGCAGTAATGTTCTGTTCCTTAGAGCAGGAGAACATTTTGACTGTAACATTTCTGCCCATTTTTAACTACTTTTTACCCTGTGATTTTTTTTTTTTCCATCTCTGAAGCACGTTGCCTTGGGTGGTCGTGAGACTTCATGTGGGTCTAGGTGCCAATATTTTGAGTATCCACCAGGCTTCTGGGGCATGTTATGAAAAATCTAACCCTTTTTCTTTTATCTTCTTCTTAGCACCAGTTCCTGAAAATTGCAAAGCCTCTATCTAGTCTCACTCCCCTGATCATTGCAGCTAAAGAGGCAGCCAAGAACAACCATTAAAGTGAACGCAGTCATCGTGTCAAGACTTTTTAGATGTTCATTGCAGAGACTGAATTCCCTGCCCTTCTCCCCTTCTGCTCCTTCGTCACAGGGGTGTTCTTAAAACTTTGATCTGCCCTGAAGGGTGGCAGAGGTATCGTTCACTGAATGTGGAAGGGCATGCAACAGGGACATTGCTGATCGTGCGTAGTGAACTGTCTTTCCATCCTTGCGATGGGGATGAGAGTGAAAGAGTATTTTGTATGGTTGAGAATGTCTGAACCTGACCTACACGTAGCAAAGCCAGTTTGTTTTCATATTTCCTACTGTGTTTTATTTTGAAAAAATAATGTGGAGCCTTAGATCATGTTTATCTTAATAAATTAAATCTTTTTGCTGGCTGGACTTTTCCTGCTTCTGGCAAGCTGCTGTTACACCACTGAGGCTGCTCTGTGCTTTGGATGACTTGAGGAGGGAAGGAAGCAGGCAGCAGGATGGGAACAGCTGTGACAACTGAAAGGGGAACGCGAGGGTGTGAATGTGCATCTCTCCTGCAGCACCGCTGGATGCGTCGAGGGAGCGTGGAGAAAGCCTCTGTGTGCTTCCTGCAGCCGTTGGAGAACCTCTTAATTCATGGATGATCTTTTTGACAAATTGTGTGAATTGCAGTCCCTCCCCGTTTAGTTTCAACTCAACTAGTTAAACAAATCTCAAACATTTATGAGGAAAAATTGACAAAGAGCTCTTTTAGGGGTATTTTATCAGTGCTGTGAGGTTTCTTAGAGACCCTTGCCCTGTATGATAAAGCACACAGAGCAATTACTGTTATAAAGATAAGATTTGCTTGCAAACTGGTGTTGAAAACTCTTGTTTCTTAGAGGAAGTCCAATGGAAAACAAACTGATCATGGATGCTGCTTTCTTGGAGACGTGGGGACGTTAATTTTTTTGAAATGATAGTTGTTTCTTTATGCTACTGATTCCTTTGGTTGCTAATAGTCTGTAAAACAACAGGAAACCTGGAACTACTCGAGGGGTTGGTTGTAAACACTGGGCTTATGTTCAGCTGTATACTGATTTTTAATAAAATGACTGCTGCGTTTCTTAGCTGGTGGCTGAGGGTGGATTGGAGAGTTCACCGTCGCCGGACGAGTCTGTTGGATGGGATTATTGTTCATAGCATCACCAGGAGCTTCAATGTGTTGGATGAAGTAATATAACCTTGTTTCTTACCCCTTCTATAGCCCTTTGGGATACCAAGTGGCTCTTAAGGGAGTAACTTTACACATAGAGAAGAGATCTGGATTATAACTGGGAGAGCTGCTTTCTCTGCCCTGCTTTGGTCATTTATGGGGTGAATTTAAACCCGTTCTGGAGCAACCTCTCATCTCTCTCCAAAGCACTTGTGTTGCACAGAAGCTCACCCCTGCTTCTTGCTGAGACCTGCTGCTGGCTCAGCCCTTTCTTCCCTGCACCTGGGTTTTAACTCAAATATATTTTTCCTGTTTTTCCATGATACATGACAGCTCCTACACTAGTTTTACTGGATGTAGTTGATGTTTGTGAGGCTTTTTCCTTCTGTGGTGCCTTCTCCCATCCTTTGTGTTCCAGGGTGGTCACTGTGTGACACAAGACTGAAGTCTGAAGTCCATTGCTGAAATCTGCAGCCTCTCTCCCTTTGTGTAGATATATTTCATCTCCCTGTAATGTTAAGAGTTTCCCCTTGCAAAGCTTGTATCCAAGAATTAATTCCCTGGACAAAACAGTAAAGCTGCCAGTCTAGAAACAGATACGATCTATTGATGAGCTCCTCTGCTTGGAGCTTAGGTGGAGATTGTGAAGTGACAGGCCACCACCCTTGAATAATTCCCTTTGATAAGGACTTTGTTTATGTTTCCTCTGGAAGACTCACGATGGCATCCACAGGAAGAAAGGAACAGAGCCTAGATCTCACTTGATCTAAAATCTTACATGGCTCTGGTCTTACAGATTCGGCAATTGACTTTTTTTTTTGACAGCACAGGATTAAATCATTGGCTGCAAATGTGTTTAATGTCTCCGACTTCTCTTTAACTCCATCCTCTGCATCCCATCGAGATGAGAACCATAATGCAGATGTGCCCTATCTGCAAGCATGCACATGAGTTTATTTTTCTGCAGCAGGATTTCTGCTAAATTTCCCCAAAGAAGGTAGAAAAAATTATTTGTATGTGTATAAGTCATTCTTCTGGATTCTCTGTTGCATAATGGAAAGGAATTGACACAAATTACTCTTTATCCCTCTTCTTATGCTACTGATGTGCTTCTGTCTCATTGATTTCCACTTTGAATCGGTCCTGCCTGGTTTCTCTTGGCTGCTTGAGATGGGGTTTGCCAAAAGCCTTTCGTTCTCCACTGGGAAGCTGGAAGGCTGTGACCATAGATGTCTGTCATCTTGTCCCAGGCTTTTTTTCCCCCACCTGTGATGGGAGGTGATGGCTACAGTGTGCCTGGATCTGCTTTCAAGTTAAGAGGCATGTCATGTTTTTATGTTCTCAGAAAAATCTTTTGAAAAAAATTATAACTACCTTAAGCTTAGGAGAATGGGATTTTTTTGTTGGTGTTGTTCTGAGATACATCCTTTCCTCCACTCTCCCTTCATCTGAGCATTGCCAGGCATCAGCACCCGTGTTAGCTTTCGTGTAGCCATTTATGGCACCTTCCTGTCTAAACAGAGCTCCTAACCTCTGAAGCTTCTTTTTCTGAGAACATCTTGACTGCTGTGATTTGAAAGCAACTTCAACTAGAGAACTTCTTTGGTGGCTTTTTTTTTTTTTTTAATATACTCTCTGAACTGATTCGCCTGAGTTGAAACCATTTTTAATCACAGCCCTTAATTATTTATTTGCCTGTTAATATTAAAGTCTCTTTTCTATATTAGAAGGTAAAATATTAGAACATAAAATATTCAGTTGTTTGAGTAGCCTTTCAGAAAATTGGCTTCCTTTTGAGGGATCTTAAGCAATCCTCTACCAGAAATGATACAAAATGCTGCAGGTAACAAAGGGCTTGGTGGAGGGAGAGGCTAAAACTCCTCTCTTCCAAAACACAGGAGATTGTCTTTTTCAAGAAACAACTACATCCTTCCACAAGACGCTTCCTATATTTCAAGAACTGCTGTTGATTTGTGTTACTTTACCCTTAGGTTTGCTTTAAACAAACGATTGATTTGGAGTTCACTGGAGTTTTTGTGTGAGAGGCGTAGGCAGACCCCCGTGTGCCTTGAAGAAGGGAAGTTGTGATGTTGAGAGTGAAGGGTCGGGGCAGAGGCGGAGAAGACGTCAGAACTTGTTGGTAGTTCAGTTGCAGCAGTTTCAGCTATCCCTAAAATGTCTTAATTGAATAGACGTGTGTTCAAAGGACCCGAATCTGGCTGATGCGTCATTACAGACTCTTCTCTAGACATTACGCTCCTACCAGACTGAATTCCCTTGTTAAACAAAAGAGTTGCGCGGTTTTCCCCAGCAAGGAGGGTCCTTGAGAAAGGAAGTTTCCATGGAGACCCTGACTTGACTTGAACGATCTGGTGAAGGCTTGAGAAGAGGCTTGGGGGGTAAAACACCACATCCACACAAAAGCCACTATTTTATGAAGCAACTGGGGTTGCCACAGTGTTTTGTTTCCAACTTGATGCCCCTTTTCAGGGGCCTGGTTTTGAGAAAGTGCCAAAAATGTTGCCTGGTCAGACATGTGAGGTGTGTAAAAGGCTGTTGCTTCTTAGCTGAGATTTCTGTGAGTCTCCTAATCCATCTGTCTCTCAAAATGCCGCAGGCTGGTGTAAGTAGGACACATTTGCAGCAGGGTACTGTGCAAGAGCGGACTGCAATGGCCTGGAAGTACATATCTGCTTCCTTAAAACTTGCCATCCTTGGCTTGACAGTAAGGTTGGTCCAGACCAAAGTCCAAGAATAATATTTGTTTGAACCTCATTCCTGATTAAGAGATGTATATTCCATTTGTGCAATGGATGATGATATCTTCAATGTTAAAATTGTTAAAGGTGAAGTTTGATTCTCCATTCATCTTCCCAACCATAAAATAACGAGACTTTTTAATGGCTTCTTATTTCTACATTATTAGAGAGCCTGTGGATGTATTTTGGGTTCGCAAGCCCAACTGGATCAAGCGTATGGATAATTAATGTTCTAGGAATAAATCTTTTCTTGCTCATGACAGCTTAGAACGTCAAAGATGGGATCTTGGAGAAGCAGCTGCTAAGTTTGGCAGGGAATAGCCAACAGTAATGAAAATGCAATAGAGATGGGAGCTGGAATAAAACTCACTGCTGAAATGGATGCCTGGAGAGATGTGGTGGGAAGAGCTACAGGAGAAGACAGAGTTGGTCCAAGGAGTGCTGGGGTAGGATGAAGCAAAGGTTAAAATTTCAGCTGTGCAATTGCTGAGGAAATTCAGGGAGTGCAGCAGCAGCCTGCTGCATCTCAAGGCAGCAACGGTTCTGGAGGAGGAGAGCAGAAAGGAGGCTGGGGAAGGAAGAGGTGCTGGAAGTAGAGCAGCAATACGGTTTTGAGTCACAGCCCAATGCTAAGAGAGCTGGAGCTAATCCAGGAGGTTCACAAAAATGACAAAATGCAGCTGAAAAGGCAAAGTGGGAGCTGGAGCGGAGGAGATGGCCTTGATGTGCCAAGGAGCTGAAGAGAGGCTGGATTTCGTGGGGATGGGAAAGAGGAGAAGCAGATTTAACACAGGCTCCGGTGGATGACGAGCAGCTCCTTCCCTCTTGCCTTGCGGCATCGGTAGAGCATCATTTCACAATCAGCGCTGCTTTGGGATCATGTAAGCAGCCACCTGGCCTTGGTCTTGTGTTTGTAAAGAATACTTTAGTCCCTCTGCACCTCCAGGTTTCTGACTGCAGCTTTAACCTGCTGGCAAATATCTTTGTGTTGTGTCCCACCTGGAAATAGAGGGGCTGTGGCAGTTTTTAACATCAGCTAGGTGATGTTTCTCTTCATACTGCCTCGGTGTAACTCTTTCCTTAATGTGCAAGGTCAGTTCAGCCATTTTAAAAACAAAAATCTTAAATAAAACCTGAATGAATGACCTGGTTCTCCTTCCCTTGCTGTTTCAGTGATCCCTGAGTGGCAGCAGAACATGAACGGGGGTGCTTAAGGCAGAGTTGTGTTTCTCTGACCTGTTTTAGATTAATCAGATATTATATGATCAAGCTAAAAGATGTTGCAGCAAGTAGGATTTTTGCCACTTATTTTAACTTGTTTGGACTTTGTGCTCTGAGAAACATCAGTCTGGAAGCAGAATCTAGACCACAGCTTGAGGAGGAAAAGGAGGAGGTGGCTGGTGGGGGAAATCTTTTATTTTCTCCCGAGGTAGAGCTCGGTGTCTGAGGTTCCTAGTACAGAGGAGGACACGGAGCTGCTGGAGTGGGGCCAGAGGAGCCACGGAGATGGTGCGAGGGCTGGAGCAGCTCCCGTGCGAGGACAGGCTGAGAGAGTTGGGGGTGTGCAGCCTGGAGAAGAGAAGGCTCCGGGGAGACCTTCCAGCACCTTCCAGTGCTGAAAGGGGGCTGCAGGAGAGATGGGGGGGCTCTGGATCGGGGGGTGCAGGGACAGGACGAGGGGGAATGGTTTGAAGCTGCAAGAGGGGAGATGGAGATGAGATGTGAGG